TCACACGGTATATACCGTAAAATAAGAACAAACAGCAGCTGCTTTACGACCATTGTTAAATAAATACAGAAAAAAATAAACCGATTGATTGGAAATCAGAACACAATACAGTTTTGAATAAAATGTTTAAGTTAGTCTCTGAAATAACACAAACCAAACACTTTGATCAACACCTAGACACTCGTATTGTATGTGACGCGTCTACTGCAAGGTTTTGTGTGTCATTGGAAGAAAAATTTTCGGAGGGATGGGTAGCCATAGCCTGTGCGACACGTTTCCTAAATTCACTTGAGAAAAAAGATTCCGTAAATGAACTAGAATTACTTGGGGTAGTTTGGGCCATTGAACATATAAATACTATACTTTTGGAAAACACTTTACCGTCATTACAGACCATCAAGCTTTGATAAGCGCTTTAAACGCGAAGGAGGGATCAAAAACTAGTCAGAGTAGGCTAACGCGCTTGTCCAGGATTGACCGTCTACTCCCATTTCACTTTGACTTTAAACATCTGGCGAAGAAAAATGCTTTAATAGACTATATGTCTCGAATTCCAATTGGAAAGTTAATACCCTCAAGCGAGTATGATGAGGAATTTGTTGTAGCATCATTTAATGCATTCATAAACAACCTCGAGTTCATTGACAATGTCACGGGGACGCAAAAGAGTCGGCATCGCAGCGGCAAGGCTCGTCAGACCGGGAGGAAAGTCTACCAGACCCGAGGTGGCATAAGCAACCCCCAACAGAAGGAAAGAAAACAACAACAACTGCATGAACAACAACGCCGGACCACTGATCTACTACGGTACAAGTAGTTCAAGATGCGAGGGAACTACTTTCTTCAAAATTGAAACAGGAAACAATTTTTCCAAAAAATGTGTTTGGGGACGACTCAACATCAACAAAAACAACTGTTACCAGTAAACAAAAAGAAGATAAAAAAATGAAGACGACACGCGCCGCCCAAACGGAAACGAACAATTCAGCAATGGTCACTCAAACAGACTTCGCCACAAACAACGACGACGATACAAGAGAATTTTGCGTCAGCCGCGTGGACCCTGACACATGCATTCAAGAGGGAAAGGCACACAATTAGGAACCACCAACGATGACACACAACCCCACACAACTCGAGGCCAGCCATAACCTTGCCAAGGAAGGACTGATCGCGAAAATCGAGAAAGGAATGAATACAACAGAATCGGAGGAAAACACACCGTTATTTCGGCGGAAACTACAACGAATACTGGGCGTACCATTTAATACCGCTGCCACAAAGAAGGACAGAAACCTAATAAATTTTGTCAAGAAAACAGACTGGGAAGCTATCAAAACCTCACACAGACAATACTGGCATAACATTCGGAATCGACTTCACGTCCGAGAGAACTGTCTACTAATTGACGAAAGCATCGTGTTACCCACTCAATTACGGCAAACAAAACTCGATAACCTCCACATGAACCATCCAGGTTCGGCAGCCATGTTGGATCTGTGCCAACATGTCTGTTTGCCGCAACTTCATCGATCAATCGTTCAGATGGCTCAGAATTGCAAACACTCACTGGAGCAAGGTACAAATTTCAAACCAATTATAGGGAAAAAACATACGTTCCAGTTGGAACCGGTTGTAGAACCTAACGAGGAAGTACAATTAGACTTCGCCGGGCCCCTCCCTGATGAGTTAAATAAGGACGCGTACATTTTGGTTGCGATAGATAAGTGATCAAAACTTCGCACTACGAAGGTTGTGTCGAACACAACAGTGGACGTTACCAGTAATTTTATCCAAAGATATATCTCCAACAATGAGATACCACGAAGACTAAGTTGCGATCAGGCGCAAACCTTTAGAGCTAAGAAATTTCAGCTATATTGCAGTACAAACAACATAAAACTACTTTTCGCTCCGGTAGACGATCATAGTGCAATAGGGGTGGTAGAAAGAATGATCCAAACATTAAAACATAGGCTAGCCGTAATGAAAACAGAGCAAACGATTTGGCAGAAATTATGAAAACTTTACGGATGCGTCACATGAAAACATGGCATCACAAAATATTCAACTTTTGAGCTTGTATAGGTAGAAAGCCAAACACACCTCTTTCAAACGTAGCCACTAATTGTTCACCAGACAATTTAAATTGGGAGAGTGCAAAACCTGCATGTTTAGATAGAAAGAATTTTACGGAGCCGCCACTATCAGCGGTAATAATGCATGATCTTCGACGATGGTCAGAAAATGAAGTTTCCAACAAAAGCCGCAAGCCAAAAGCCAAGTCACCAACACTACCGAAGATCCTTGAGAAAGCATCTTAATCTACCCAGCAAGTCACAGGTGCTAAAACTAAGAAAACCATAGAAATAATCAGATATAAATTAAACGTAAGATACAAAGGGGTACAGCCGACACTAGGCAAAAATACGAAAAAAACGTATAGACCAGGTGGCGCGAAAAACAATTCGATTAGCAACAAAGGTAAAAGATCCCAAAACTTTCAAGCAAAAGTACAAAACTCTAGACGTGAAAATCCACCACACACAGCTTGGGTTCAAACTCGCCACACACAGCATGGGTTAAGAAGCTTGGAAAACAAAAGCAAGATTAATAAGAAACAGCGGAGTCGCATTTGTTCCCAATCCTTTAGTATACGGACCATGCAGGCCTTCTCGGCTAAGTGATTGTGTTGCGTACAAACTCTCAGGGAGATCAGGACCTTGTCTACGTTTTTTAGACATTGAGACTCCTAATGCCCCACAAAGGGACGGGGCTACTAAAGAAATTGACCAAGCAGGAAAAAGCGGCAGGGACCAGGGCAACCAGAACAGCTCAGCTAAAAGGAAGGCAAAACTGAAGGGGAAAAGAACAGGCGGGCGTCCGACTCAAAAGCTGCAACCAACACGTAAGATGAGTCTGCAAACGGAAGAAAACACTGAGATGTCACAATTCTACAATTCATCCACTACATCAGAGGATATAGAACCGTCACCTAAGAGGCTCAATCGAAAACGCACGCCACCCGCAAACGCTGCCATGCCAAAAAGAAAAACAACACGAAATTGCCAATTAACTCTAACAAACGAACTGGGAAACCCAATCCAAGTTAACACGATAAACGACGCCAACCACGAAACAAAGACATCACTGCATTTCGAAAATAACTCCTCATCAGACAAACCGGAAACAGAAAATAAGCCAAGCCTGAAGCCGTTCCTTTAAGAAATGGGTTTCAGAGAAAAAATTCCGGAGTACGAGGCCTGCGTTAAATTTCTCGAAGCCATTAGCCCTAAAATCAAAAACAGGTCGAAATTGTTGATTTGACGTCGCCAAATGAAAGCGCAAATGACATGAACGATAAAAAAAATTATTCGTGGAAGAAAAACTTGTAACGGGAGAAGCTACGAAGGAAAATAAGGACGAAGAAATGCACGAAGACGAAGAACACAAAAAGAACATGGAGGACGATAACAATAACGAGACAGAAAAAAAACCAAACGGAAAACTGAACACAAAAGAACGCAGGAGTAGTCGAGAGTTCCACAGGGACTACAAAACTCAAATAAAAAACAATTTACTTTTAAATTCCCTGTTAAGGGGGAATGTCTTCCGGCCTGAATTGATTAACTCAGTACATATATGTTATTCATGTTATTTATCTTTATGTTAATCTTACCGTAGTAGATACCTTGTTATTAGGTCGGTTGACCTTGATAGACTCCAGACATGAACTGTTCTTGAGCTGTAGCTCAGTTGCCAATAATTGTTGACTCTAATTTCTTACGCTGAGACGGACGGCTAAAAAACTATCATCTTCCTTCAACTTTTTCTTCTTCTTAAAAAATAAATCTTAAATTCTCTTTGAGTAAATTTTCACATTAAGTAGAGTCACTCAAAACAAAGTTAAATAAATAAACTCCTTAAGTCAAATTTAACGGACCGAAAGGAAGGCAAATTGCCACCACCCCAGCATCGGACAAAACCCTAACTGACAGTGAGGCTTAGACAGTGTACCTTTTCCCAGCAAGAATTGGAACACAACTTCTCTGCACCTTCTCTCCGCTACTTTCCAACGAATTTTGTAGGAAATAAAACGCAATAAATTGATAAAGTAAACAGCCCCTCCTATTGGTAAAAAATAACAAAAGATGAGCAGTTGTGCATAACGTTTTTCTTCTTCTATTTAATCATCCTTTTTTAATTTATCTGTTCATATAACTATCATTTAAACTCTAGGATCAGATCGACTATGATCTATGATATAATTTATCTGAGACTTGTAGTTTTAATTACTTGTTGAAACAAAGAGATGTAACAACCGATTCCAACGTTTCTTTTAGCAGAGTGCTTAGGAAATAATCGTGAAGTTATATTTCACATTCTCTCCAGTTTGGCACGGCAATCTTTATTTTTCTGGCTTTTGTGGTGTAGTTTTTTTCGTCTGGCTATTTTGACTTTCTAACGAGCCATTGTTGACGGAAGGTTTTTATATCATCGGAAGAGTATCAATGTTCTGAGCTCAAATAAAAAATCTCTAAAAACATTACAGATTTCGCCATTTTTGTCAGTTTGAGATTTTTAACGCTGTATATATCGTGAAAATAAGGCTTGGGCTTCTAATATTAACCCAGCTCAGACAGCAAATTAATTTACAGAAATCTAGTTTGTTTCAATACCAAGTTAGACGCTGATTTCATCAATTTGCTTTTTTTATAGGACGTTGTGGTAGATAATTGAAATATTGAAGAAAAAAAATTAAAGCTTGTGATTTTTTTGCGATAATTCCATCTTGCTATAAATCGAAAAAACTTTCTTGGACGTTAAAGTGCAGCCTTGAACTTGTTTCAATTTGGCTTAATTGATAGTTTTTTGTTTGTATTTTTTTGTTGTCGCAGTACGTAAAAGCCATGTCCCTCTCCGGTCGGGACTATTTTGATTTACATACGCACAGTAGACAATTATTCTTGTTTTTAATGCTGCTGTTGTTTGATGCTTACCTCCAGAAGTCTGGTGCTCGAGCAGGAAGTGAGTGAGATGAGTGTGGTGGCCCCCCACTCTGTCATCCCACACAACTCCCTCAGGGCCTGCATGGGGTTGGGGTCCGAGATGAAGGACACTCTAAACAGTCATCGAATCATTGCACAGCGGAGAAATTGTCCACGAGAAGAGACAAAAAATCCAGAGATGAGCGGTTGAATAAGTTCCGACTTTTGCGTGCTCTGTATTGCTCTGCACTCACAGTGGACAGAGAATAAACTTCGTTGAAAGGTGGTTTGGAAAAAAACGGTAATATTAGATACAGTTCGTTATTTAGCGTGTCAAATATACTTATTTTGAGGAGGGGTGGGCGGGGGTCATGAATGATGCTTCGCCAAAACATCACAATTTTTGTCAAAACGGCCTTTTTCTCTAAACAAATTGATTTTGTAGTTCGATCAAATTGATTTTCCGAGCTCTCTCAACGCAATAAAAAGCCCTATTTTGACCAAATTTTCAGCGCCGCAGTCAAATTTTTGAAAAAAAACAGGCCAAAAAGGCGTTTTTAGTGGCACTTTTTGAAAAAAAAATTGACCAAAAAATTGTCTTTGTCGGCGCGCGCTCCCCCCTCAATTTTAGTATTTATTGACACCGAAGGCGCCTTAAGAAAAATTTTAGGGTCCGTCATCCAAAAATGGATATCACAAAATATTACAAAGTGGGACCCTTTGTGTCGGCAGGGTATCGAATCCCTTAAAGGGGCGTCCGCATTGCCGCCTCTATTTAAATCCACCCCTGGCCATATATGATCATTCTACAGTATCGGCAGAACTCAAAAAGTTACAAACTAAAACAATTTTCACTTATTGAAAAGCGTCTAAAACTACTGTGATGCCACTGGGACACTATTATTTTCTTCCATTTTTCAGATAATTTTCAATTTTAGAAATATCAGTTTTTAACTGAACCATTTTTTATCACATTGACTGAAAGATTATGTTTTGCATTTACATTTGTGATTGGCAGCATTTATGTCAATAGGGAGCATGATAGTCCAACCAAATATTTGAACTGAAGCAACAGTGCCCAGCTACTGTACAATTAGCAACTCAGTATAGGCTAAAAAGGTTTACAATGAAATAAAAAATTGCAAGTTTTTCAAACTTTCCTGATTTCTTTTTCCCTTTGTTTGTGATTTTTCTATTTTCTACAAAACTAGAATTTAGAAGAAAAACCTCTGGTAGTTATAAAAAACTAACTGAATTTATCCAAAAACAGTAGCCTGAATGTAGAAGTGAATCAAGGCACTCCCTCATAAAGCATTAAATGGAAAACAGAAATCAATAACAAAAATCAGACCAGTCTATTTCAGCAGTGCTACATTTTTATCAACATTTTTTCTGAGCTCAAAAAACGAATGATACTGCTCTAGATCACCGTAAAACCATTCTTTTTAGTACCTAAGACGCTTAAAAATCTAACTTTAGCTAGATTAACTTCAAATGAAGTGCTTGACAACTGGCAACTAAAGATTCCAAGTTAAATTTATTGAAAAAAAAACTCAGATGCTTGAAAATATTTTTTTTATGAAATGGTATGATAAGTTTTTTTTCAATCAAAAGTTTTTTAATGAACTCAAACAAAACAAATTAGTGGCAGTTTTGATTAGATAAGAGCAACTTTGGCAAAAATTTTTTGAATAAGAAAATGTTTATCATACCATTTCATACATAAAAATTGTATGACATGCTTTTTTCCATAGAAACAACCAAAATTTGAGGTGAACATTTTTCAAATAATTGTTGGTCACAAAGTTGCTTCTGTGCTCTTATATGCATTATTACAAAAAGGTCTTTTTTGACCACAATTTTTTTTATTTGCTTAAATAAACATAAATTTGTAAAACAAAACAGGCCTCTTCTCTCAACCACCAAAATTTTCAAAGCACAAATTTTCTGGCAATAAAGAAAAAGTTACCTGTTTGGTATATAAGTCTGAGTGAACAAGTCAACATTACCCTAAATGACCAATAACATCAAATGCACTTTATCAGCGTGGTAGTTACCAGTTACACTCTGGAGATTTTCATGACAGAAAATCTTTGAATATTAAATTTCGTATGAAACACAAAAGTTCACAACAGCATTTTTTAGTATTTTCATTTGTAGATAAATGCTTGTCATACAATTTCATAGTACAAAAAACTGTTTTTGCTTATTTCAAAAAAATTTTGAATAAACTATTTAGCAAAAAGCTGGTTATTTATTTCCAAAATGAGGCAAAAAATGATTGTTACAAAGTTTCATGCTTATTTTTCTCTTTTTATACAACTCTTAAAAGCCTGATCAGCATTTTTTTCATAGGTTGAAATTGTATGATAGGCAGTTTTTGTGTACCCCGATTGCTCTGTTTTGCTCCACTGCGCACGTTCTTTTGAGTGATATGAAGCGCGGATTTAGTGTTTACCACATATATAGATTGCTTTGTTTGAAATTTAAAAAACTCTCTTTTTTAATTTTTTCCTAGTCGTTGTATTTCTTAAAGATTGAAAGTTATATACTTTTGCGAGATGTGTTTTGTTGGAAGTTCATGAAATAATTTTCCCTACAATAGTTGTAACAAAAAGTAAACAGATCCGAATTTTTAGAAAAATTTTCACTTGGTTTTTATTTTTTGAGATTCTTGAAAAATTCTTAAGATTCTCAGTCACTTTGCAATTTAATTGAAAGTTTTTTTTATCAATAGATGGCGCACAATAGTTTAAGGCCCCAACCTGATAAAAACGTTTTCATATAAATCAATTTCAAGTTTTGCTTCCTTTTTGACGTGAAGCTCTTCGAGGCTTTGTGTTGTCAATCTTTCGGTGATGACATCCTATAGTGAAGCTGTTTTCAGTACCTATATTTCATTTTGCATAAACGTTATAAAAATATTGTCGGAAAATTTTCGTACTCCTAATAAAAATGTGTTGGCGTATAAAGAAATTGATTTCTAATTCGTAAAAATCATGGACACAACAAAAAAACTGCAGCACAAAAACAGCTGCTCAGGTGAAATTGCAGCACAAAAAAAAATAAAAGGAATTGCAGCACAAAAAAATATATACTGTTAACAACAATAAGATTCTTGATTGTAAGTGCAAACTACAATTAGTTTATTGTTTGAAAATAGTAACTTTTGCAACCTCTAGTCAATGTTTATTTTTTGTCGTTTTTATCGCAGATAAATGCCAGATCAAGTCGAGTGATAAACCATATTGATTAATTTTCAGTTCTGGACGATAAAGTTCTGGATGACTTCTGGATGATAAAGGCAACTAGAAACTCAGTCAGTCTTAAAAAAACATTTAAAATGTTTAAAAGCTTTTTTAGGTATGAAAGATAATGCTGAAAAAAATTAGCGCTGTAATTAAAAAAAAACCAAGTATTATACAAATATATTAAATCTATGTTTAGAGTTTTCTGTGCTACTTGACCTGCAATTTGATAAAAATTGATCTGGGTTGCTGTCTGTTATCACAAACCTGAAGTCGATTAGAGATGAGCTGTGCTTTCGTTTCAGATAATCCAGCGAAGTATACAACTGGTCATTCTGTTCAACCCTCCCCTCGTCCAAAATGAAACCCACTTTAAGAAACACCTGAGCACTCAAACCAGCATGAACAAACGATAGCAATATGAAAATTAGTGATGACTTCATTTTTTGTTCAGATTTTATACTTCAGTGGTGGTACTTTAATGCTGATTTATTTGTTAGACGAGCTATGAAAAGCCAAATGTACGTACTGTATCAACGCATTAAATGCGCTTTTCTATTAAGTACTTGTAATGAACTTTGAAAAAATAAATTCAATTATTTATTTTTTCGAGAGACTTTGCACAGAATTCTTTAAATACAGTTTTTTTTATTGTGTGTGAAAACTTTTGTTTGAATAGTGTTTTTAGAGAATTTTCTTTAATTTAGTAATCAATGCAAATAAACTCTTACTCAGTGACCAAAAAACGGAAAAGTTTTCCCTCAAAATCTGAAAAAATGAAGGGAATAATAATGCCCATTGTTCATTGGTCAAAGCAAAGTTTTTGATGCTTAAATAAGGAGTAAAAATTGAAACAATTAAAACAGCAGTAGCAAAACACCGAGTGATAAGACCAAACCATATAATGACAGTCCATATAAATAAGCTAAGTGCTTCTAAATTTTTGATCAAATTATTGTTCCGACCATTTGAAATGTGGAGGAACCTTGTATTCGGGTGTTATAGATTCTTTATTTTTTTTAACGCATAATCAGATACCACAAATATACATTGGAATGGTTTGAATGATACATTAGCCTATTATGAAGCCCTTTCATATGTGATTCGAAAAACTTTAACAAGTTTTGAAAAACATTCTCAGTGTCGAGAGAACCAGTGTGAAGTTTTTGATTTTTGTCTAAGTTCAAGCTAAAAATGTGAGATTAAGCAGGCTCACAAAAGCATAGTTATACTTAATTTAAACGTGGTAAAACGTTTAAAAATTTATAAAATATGGGAAAAATTAGTTTTTGGAATTTTTTAGCGACAGTTTCTGATTCAAAACTTCAAATTTTCTGCAAAAAAAAATGAAAAAGCTTTTGAAAATTTTTGAATTCGGGTGGTAATTTTTTTTGTTTTTCTAGTTCTTTTTATTTACAAAAACTGTTTTCCAATGGACCTATTCTACTTTGAAAATCGAATATGATCAAAAAATTTTTGCTCGGATCTTTCGATTGCACCACGCAGTAAAAACGACACCAAATTGCAAGCAATTTTTTTTGTTCTTTCAAGTCTATGGTCGGAACATTCTGTGCTCCTTGCACAGTAACCGACTATCCTTGTTGTTGTTTGCTCACATAATTTTCATACAAAGAGTATAATTTTTTGGTTCAAACAATAAAAGTATGTGGTTGAGGGAGTGAAACGAGCATTTTGTAGTATAAAAATCAATATGCATTTTTAACTGATCGAGCTAAAAATTTCTTGAGAACAATTCAAATTAGCTAAGTTGCGCCAAACCTTTGCATTAAATTTTAGGAAAAAGGAAAATTTGCTCAAAATTGTAATTTTACAGATAATTCTTACAAAGAATTGAGTTTTGTTATCCGACGTTTTTTATGCGTGCAAAACAATCGAGACAATTTTTTTCTCTAAACATTCTCCTTTTATTTAAAAACTGACTCATCGAATGTCAAATTTTTCTCACACAATTACTGTAAATGTTTGTAGGGCAAGTTGCATATTTTTTTAAATTGTGCATATACCAAATTTTCGTCGCAATTAGTTGCATTTTAGAACCAAACAGTTTGGCTTTTTGTCGGTTCTATTCATCAACAGAGCATAAAAGTTTTGATGATTTATAGAAAAATGAATTTTTTCACAATTTTTTTTTTTGCATCTGGAGTTTTTGAAGCATAGAAAATTATTAAAATACTTAATACTTCTCTTTTTCTTGTACACAATTTTTATATGCAGTTTTTTGATATTTGCTCAAAAATTCAGAATAAACAACGTCTTTTGTTATAAGTTTTCTTCGCAAATGTTTTGGGCACAATCAACCAAGCAATGTAGGATAAAGAAAGGAAGAAAATATATATCTAAAATTATTTTAAAAAAACAATGATAGTATTGAACTTAATATTGACTGTCACTGTAACCAAAATAAGGGCTTCTAGAAATTCGATAACATTATGATGTTTTGGATGAAACGTTTTTATTACATTAAGTTATATGAAACAAGTTTTGCGAGACATTGAAAACATCTTTACAGTTTTTTTACTGATTGAGCATTCACTTTCTCGCGCACAGCCCACTTTAGTTTTAAAGTAATTAGCGCCAAGCCGTTGCGTTCATGTTTTTTTTTGCATTTTGGTAAAAAGCTGTGTTTTTTTTTTTAGGAGGTTTTTTGTATTTTTGTCCCAAAACAATCTTATCAGAAATTTTTCAAGCTTGGAAAAATATGGAGACTTTGATCCAGCTTGAAAAAATTATCCAAACTTTTTGTAAAAACAGAAATCGCGGTTGTTATATATCACCTACTATACAATTTAGTCAGAGAAGCAAATGAATAAAAAAAAGCTGCGCTCCAAATGTAGGACAGAAGTTTTTCATTTTTTATTTCAATAACAAGATGTAGAAAATAGCCTTGGATTTGAAATTTTTTTATTGTCTGATGATCCCATCCCATTAATTTGTAAGTTTTCAGGTTTTTAATTATTTAGATTTTTTTTGATTTTAATAAGTTTGAAAGCTAACACTTTTTCGACAAAATTTTTTTTAATTAAAAAAAACCATTGAGCATCCAAGGAAAAAACATCTTTCACAAAGTTTAAAGTTGCCGCATAATACTACAAAAAGACGTCTGATAGAGATTGTAAAAGTTTAGACGCTCAAGCATTCATTTTCTCCCAAAAACTCTAAAAACAATCTAGGGAATTTTGAACCAATTTTTTTTTCGCTAACCTAATTATGAAAATTTTCAAAGTTAATTAATTTTGTAGATTTCTTTAAGCTTTTTCTGTTCGAAGATTTCTTCTGAAATTTGCAAAGCCTTGAAAAAGATCCAGAAACCTTTAATTTTTTCTGAAGGTCCTCGTTTTTTGTAAATATTCTGAATTTGTCATAAACAAAAACAAAGTGTCAAAAAGAGAGACCCCAAATTCCAATTTAGGAGCAAAATATTTGTTTTTGTTTTTAAATGGTTCTCTTCTCCGGAAATGTATAAAATCCTTGGTGATTTTTTGTTTTGGCATTTTGTTGTCGAAAAATTTTTGATGATTTTTAAAGGCTCTCTAAATTTTGGTTACTTTTTGATCAAACTTTCTATTTTACTCTAGTTGAAAGTTGATCTGATCTTTCTTTGAGACCATGTTCTAAGCTTCTCATGAAAATATTCAATTATACGTATTTTGATTTGATCATCGTCTGAAAATTCAACTTATATTTTGAAAAATTCTACATTTTACTGTTTTTCAACACTCAATTTATCTGCATAAGAGAGAGCAAGAAGAATCTAATTTTCCAAGCCAATTGCTAATTTAGTAGTTTTTTTTTGTTATAATTCCCCCATAACCATTAAAAAAGAGTCAAATCGTCCTCCAATGTATTGTTCTGATTTAGAATGAAAATTGGAGGCAACTGTCCTGAAGGTACAATGGAGACAACCACAGCTAGACAACCACAGCCAGGGAAAGAGATCTACATACATTCAACTAATGTCATGAACACGCGAGTTTTCCGTTTTTTCAAACTTTCAATGCATAGTTTATTATGTTATCGAGATCAAATTTTATAAAAATTGGGTTAGCCAAGCACCTTCTAGTCACTCTGTTTTATGCCTAGCTTTTCATAAAAATTGACTCGCCAGAAGCGCAGAAAGATTGTAATGGCTCACAGGCGCGGTTTATAAAATTGTTTGGATTTTACAAGAAAACTACTAACAAAAACAAATTACTATTTTCGAGTAATGGTCAAATAATTTAAATTCTTTTATCTCGGACTTCATTCAAACACATTTTAAAATTTTTTTTAAAAAAGCGTGAATTTCCGATTATTGCAATCAAAGTTAAATAAAAAAACCGATTGATTAGACTAAACCTAATAATGGTTGTCCGTTTAAAATACTTCGGGTCCTTAACATTTTAGAAAAAACTCTTTTACTCTGTTTAAGCGAATAATTGCAATCATTTTTTGTAAAAACATTGCAGTTTTTTGGCGCAACCGAGGTTCAAAATTTTTTTCAACTATCAAGCACTCAGTTCTCGGGCTCAATTCAAATATATTGTGCCAAACAAAGGTTGAATCTTTTGTTTGCAAAAATGTTTCAAACATTTTTTTTTCTATTTTGAAACTTTTCAAAGCCTGGAAAAAGATCTAAGTTGTGAAAAGCTAGTTGAAAATAATTATTTTTTTAAAAAAAAGTTGAAAATAAGTTGATTTTCTCCTCTTTCTGTACACATTTTTGTAAGCACGAAACTGTTTATCAGGTTTAATTTTGGTTTTACGTTTAATGCTAAGATATACTGGAAAAAATTAACTAATTTAGAGCTTAAAAGAATTTCTTACGACTCACAAAAAAGTGTTGTAAAAATCATTTCGGTTTCAGAAAACAGTTTTTAAGAATCTTAAGCTAAAAAATTTAAGCCTGAATTGGATCGAGACATTTTCCCCTCTAAACACCCTACCTCTTAGTTGAAATTTTTTGTTAAGAGTTCATGTTTGCTAGATATATCATAGGGCGTTCATTCATGACAAGAAACGATACAATAAGAAAAACACTATCTGCTTCTTTAGGAGAAAAAAAAACTTTTCAGGTGAAGCTGAGCTGTAGGACTAAGAGTTTTTTTTGGTCAAGTTTATTATTTTGAGTGGTAAATGGTTCAAGTTTTTAGCACAACTTTTTTTTCATTAGCATCTTTCTGGATCTCAAAAAGTTTTAAATAAAGTTTTTTTTTGAATCTCTTAACTTCATTTACTGTTCCGGAAATTCTGCATACTAATGCACAAAAAAGGAGGTTGCTATTTTTTGTGTCTTGTGATTTTTCGTTTTCTACAGAAAAAAACGAAAACTTTTTGAAATTTATCTTAAAACTCAAATATATGGTTTTCAGGGGAACATCATCTTGAGTTTTTATGTATCAAATTTTTGTTGTACGTTTTTTATTTCTCTTCAAACTCGAGGTTTACTAAGATTAGAACTTAAGTAGAATTAAAAAAAATTTTGTAAAATTATCACATACAACAAATAAAACGTTACAGTAAAACTCAAGATATT